AGCGTTATCATAAACGTGGCCTTCTTCTTCAAATGCATAAGATATTATCGATGCTTCTTGGGTCTGGTAATAATCATCATCAGACATTGTGATACAAAATGATATTGAAAATGCATTGAATTGCTCGAAAGAGTTGAGATATATTCCATATTGATGTGTATTGTCACCATCAAACTTGCTTGCCAGTCGTGGACCTGCAAGAAACTACTAATTCAACCAAAAGTACATTTTTAAAACATTTTTTTATGGAAAAAAGATGACATCAGGAGAAGGGATAGCCTAAAATTTTAGCAGGGTAGCAACGTACAAAAATGATACTGCTAATTTTCTAATACTGTCGCTCAAAGTTAAAATAGTACTATACGTACGCAAATGCGAAGGTGACCTGAACAAACAGGTGCAGTTATTTGGCACTTTTTTCAAACTTTAACTTCCTTATTTCATCATCAAAACGCAGAACGCACATTCTATAACTAATAGCTAAGTTTTTTTTAATAATTAGGTTAGGTCTATGCCCTAACTTATGTGATAGTTTTGTATTATATATATCTCACGTTGTAAATAACTTCCTTATTTACTCTGAGTTGTTTTTGTATTAATGATATTAATAAAAATAAATTTACATTTTTTTCCTTCTGGTAGGCATAAGCACGCATTGCTTCAGTATATTTTGGAATAGCCATTATTATAAAAGCAACAGCGACCCTATTTTCTTTTGTGTGATCTGGCCAATGGCTAAATCCATAATATCGAATGTCATTCGTTGGGGATAGCAAAATAATGTACATGATGGCGTAAGAGTATTTAGCCTACGTTTAACAGTCAGGTATGATAACAAATACCTATATTTGGTGAGTAGAAGTTTAGGAGTTTTGTTTGTTTAATTTTTGAGGCGTTGCATAAATATTTAAGCTAAGGAATATTTCATTCGCAAAGTTGGAGTAATCGAAGTGTAAATAAAATACCATCCGAATTACAATTTTCCTAACCTTTTGAAGTTAGTAAAGATAATTTTTTTGATCAAATATCTAGTCTTAGTCTTAAAATAATACAAGAAAGCGTTTACCAAATGAGCTTCTATAATATAAATAAATTTGCCATTAGACTGACGTCAAATTTGTAAATTTAATATTACCAAATTGTACAAAATTGTAGCGCAGTAAAACCTTTCAATTTAGCAAAGTGGTTAATTTTTGTGACCGGGCAAGTACGTGGTCTTTATTTTTATTCGTTCGTTTATTTCAATTGTAATAGCATCATGATATTAACAAAGAAAGAGCAAAGGTTGTATGCATAAAATATTGACTATATGAATAAAGCTAATACATTTAATGTTAAAATCAAAGACCCTTACCAATGCCACTCCTCCTTATCAGATGCGTGTAGAAAGCTATCAAAATTATGCTATAGTGATTGCCTTAGTCCATTTCAATAAACTTGTTTGTAGTGTAGGTATCCACTTTACACTTTGCAACCTTGCAGCAGTGTACACTGATTTACAGTGAGTTCAGCAAAATCGGACGTTGCGGTGCCAGGAAATACTTTAATTAATTTATGAACATCAGGCCCGTGATGACAAAATTGTGCAATTTCCTTCATTAAAATAATTTTGGACAATGATTTTTATCGACCATTAATAAAATAAAACTTTGACCTTACAGCAGATGATGTAGAGGAGCTACACCCTCTTAAAAAAGATTGGACAGCGGAAGCATTAGTTCTACAATGAGAACATGAAGTTCATCATCTGAAAAGTCCCTAATTTCTCCTAACAAGCCCATGTGGTAGAAAATAATTCACAAATAAACGTATGCTCAAAATTGGTTGAAGAGCAAAATTTATCACTACATACAAAGTTTGGTTACCACTTACAAAGAAAATATGATATTTAACATTTTAGTAAATTGTTAAAAATATAAGAAGACGAAGTACTTTCATGAATAAGTGATTTTTCTAGGCTATTTCTGACAAAGGTGGCTCATATGACTATATTTTTATGTATAAGTCATGAAACAGACCAGGGGCGGATCTAGAGTATATCAAATCCGTCGCGCGACCTATGTTTGAAATTCAAAAATTACCTATTCATAATAATTAAAAATTCATTAATTCCTCTTACTTTATTATCGCATTTATTTCGTGATGAAAATCCAGCTTTATTTATTATTGAAAACTAATGACTAATGCAATGAATATCTCGTTGGTAACCAGATCAGTTCAATTTTAATTGACCTGGAATAACCGACTGATAAGCGGGGTGGCTTGACTGGTTCGACGGATAAAGGAGTCTATGAACGCCAAAAACGCTTATTTCATTGGTCAATAGCCAGATCAGTGGACGATCTGGAATAATCTCGACCGATAAGCAGGGTGGCCGGACCTATAAGGGGTCCACTTGCTATCGTGTAATTGGCTCGTTTAAATTTTTGTCTTACTGTGATTGGTTTGACCAATCTCGACTGATAGCCAACTGAACTAACATAGTCAAGCTCACAGTCTGAATTGAATGTTTGATCGTTTCATAGTAATTTTCTAAAGCATGATAGAAACTAAACTACAATTAGATGGAATTTATTGAAATCTTTTACAAATTCATATATTGACATGAATGCTGCTTTCCAAACTGGGAATTTTTTCAAGAGGGTGAAAATTTTATGGATGAATTGTAAATGCTTGGCAAAGACGATCTCGCGAGCGACATGCTAGTCATTGATGTTCAAAAGCAAGCCAACATTGTTTTGAGTTTTATCAGCAGAAATTTACATCCAAAATCAAAAGTAAAGGACAAGTGAAGTTTATGCATGAATGCAATATATCAAAGACAATTTATGCGAGTGTGTGATGCGATTTATGCTAATATGGCGTATGGTAAGCAGATTGATGCTTCTAAAATTGTTGTTGCCGAAGGACTTTTAGCTTTGATTTCTTTAATGCTTGGGGTATCGTGGCCGTTATATGGCAGCGAAATCCTACATTCCTGCAAATATAATTCAATGAACAGAAAATCTGTAGCCATAAGGCGCCATACTATTATTTACTTTATCATAAACAAATTTTTGGGGCTTTTAAGTTTATGATCATTGATCATTCAATCATTGGACAGTTATGCTACATATTGTTTAAGATTTGAGAAAAATAACATTGATTACATGAGAAGCTGTTTACTATAACCTGTGATTTTGTGTATTCTGATCCATGAAGCTTTTTATTTTGACAATTTGACTGAAATGGTATTAAACCTGAGTATTTCACATACATGAAATGTTGTCCTATGTTACATATTGTCCCCTTTTCTAACTGAACACCTCATGTAGAGATGTAAAGGTGTGTTAATCTACGGCTCATACCAGATTGTTTGCCATAAATTCCAAAGGGCTATTGATGTATGAAAAGTATTTTCTATAAAGTAAAAATGTCTTCCTATGTATACAGATAAACCTTGAAATTTGGCAAAACAGCAAAGTATTTTTCATGATCACTAGGTAATTGTTATTGATGATCATTATAATTTATAATCTAAATTATTTCAGATTTACATTTAAACAAGCTTTGATTATTTGAAAAGATATTTATCATAACCAGTAAGCATGACACATAAACCATTTTTAACATTCATGTAATTATATAATTAAAGACATGTGGTTACATTCTGTTTGTATTTGATAATTCAATGCTACTAGTGATTGCTATATAGCACACCTGCAGAAGATAATAGTCTAGTGAAATGCCTAATAAACATTTATGGCATTAAGCTAACCTTAACTGAAAATTTTCACTGTGATAATTTTTGCTTAATCTTTGGCAGAAAAAAATATTGAGTTTTTCTCAAAGGGTGAATTTGCTTGCACTGATGTGGAGATGGGTAAAGGGTTACAATAAACTTGCATGGTTTAAAGTCTGAGCTTTTCTATATCTATGAACTGTCACTTATAGTACAAAATTTCTAACTTAACTCATTACATAGAGGTTTGAATGGGAGTCTCTAAAGGGTCTATGCCTGACAACTTGGTAGAAACTTTAAAGACTATATCTGTTTTTGAATAGCATTATTGTAAAATCAATTTTACGTTCCTAGACATGCTAACGAGCCATATATTTGGCATGATAAAGATTCTAAATATTTGGCAAAACATTCAAGTATTGTTCACTTTATTATTTTTTTTGAAAAAACGTAAGCAAAATATGTTGTTTTTACCCAAAAACGATGCCCACAAAATACATTTTGTATTGCTCTAAAACGCTGAAAATGGCATTTTCAAGGCTCTGAAATTCAAAGTTTCTCAAGGGAGAATGCCTCAGACCCCCTAGGTGCGGAGCGCCTCCGACGTTTTATGACTGATGTTCGACAAATCCTAGATCCGCCCTGAAACTGACCAACTAGAGTGCCTTTAGTGCAAGTTTGCAAAGTAATAATGTAACATTCGTAAACTAACCTCACAAATAAATTCTTACTTTTTTCACCAGTAAATCACAAATATTTTGCAACAAAATATTATATAAATTAAAGTGCCTGAGCATTAACCTTGTTCACACATCCTTATATGCGTCCGTATGTGAAATAGTGGGATATTTGCAAACGGAAGATCGAAAAGAATAATCAATCAAATCTAAAAAACGATCAATTTCTCCCTCTACCTCTGTTGCACAACTGACCTTACTGTTGCACAAAGCAATAGTCAATATGTCATTCTGACTCTGCAGAAATGGTAATTTTAAAAATTTACAAGATCATGCTCTTCGACGTTATTCTAATTTTGATTGTTCACTTGCACCAAGCAGCGTTCACAAGTTTATTCAGCTTCGAAATCTCGAAGGAAATACCTTTTTGAAGATTAAAAATAACTGAAGCTATGACTTTGTTGATACAGAATACAACACGACTGATAAGTAGAATATGTAATGGAAAGTGCTAGTTCCCTTATTTCCACCTTCAATGACCCGCAGTTTTTGAGTAATAATATGTTGGTGCCTTTCTCATAGTATTAAAGTTCTTTGATATATTCGATCTCTGTAATGCGATATTGCCTTATGCAATAGTGCGATATATAAATTATAAAATCCTGACGGTTTCATTCGACACACTTGAGACGCGGTGCGAGAAATTGATGAAAAACTAGTATTTTTTATAACGGTCTTGACGTAATCAATAACTAAGGGTGTTAATCATTTATGCAAAACAAATATTTTGTAAAAAAATTTTTTGTCAGCAAGAAAAATTATATAACTTCAACCATTTTGCAGCATTTTAATTTGTCAATATTGTGTAGCCATTCACCTCCTGGACTTCTGAATAATCCTGCTATGTAGTAACCACCATTTTTGCACGTTACCCATCCTTTTTTGTTAAACTTTTCACTGATGTCTTCATCGTAACAATCACCATACTTGTCTGGATGATTGACTGGTTTGCAACATTTTCCTTGCTCAATATTGTTTAATCTTTGGCCATTGGTACGAAAGAGTCCGTTTATAAAATAACCATAAGGGCAAACACCCCAAGTGTCATTTCTAAAATACAATATTGAAATCAAAAGAAAATGGCAATTTATCCATTTGTTCAAATATTCAATAAAATATTCTATAACGACATAGAACAAACTATGTCTTACTGTTTCTTGGATATTTGAAACTTAACGGTCTAACGACTTGGTTAAATTACATAAAAAAATATATCTGTCACGCTTTTTAGTTCATAAGTAGCTACAGAACCCAACAAATAAGTAAACTATTTTTGCTATGTGGGGAAGGCTTTATTTTCTTCATCAAATGCTGACTAATTATCAAATATTTTATAACAATAATGGCATAACAATCTTTAGAAAAGACATTGTATAAACTTACGAAATTTTATAAATGGCAAAATTAGATGTAGTAAATTTTTGCTTAACAATTTTTAATTACTTTTTTAAACCCTCGTCAAAGTGATATTTGATTAATTCTATCCAAATATACTCACATAGTTGAAGAGGTTTGCCAGCTAACATTTTGACATGTGCTACTTTGCCCTTTATGTATATTATTTGACGAACAGCAGTTGGCTTTTTGGAGATTGTGAATGCCATCAACGTTTGTATTGTTGAACTGGCTGCGCCGAAAACCAGTTATAAATTTGTAGTTGGACCCACAAGTTGACCATCCTTTTTTGTTAAATGATTTCTGCCAACCAGCGATTATGCAAGACTGTGGTTTACGAACGCCTAAAATGAAAAGTTCTGTTATATTCTTTATTCAAATAAACTGATATATTTTTCACGTACACTTTCTTTGATTTTGTTGTTAAGAAAACAATTATCTTCTCCTCATACTCTTCCTTATTAATGTGCATGCACTTAAAGCTAATTTTTTAATGAAAATCTTGCTTTTTCAAAATATAAGTACAACAATGAGAGAACCCTAAATAAGTTAATTTTTAAATTTGCTTACATACATGACAATCTATAAAAAAGTCAAAACGAAACCCCGATATTTGTACAAAAATATTTTAGAAAATTTACTGTGAGAAATTAGAGTCTTGTTAATTTTATAACATCAAATCCTGGCAAAGTAAACATTTTGCTTTGAACTTTTTTTTCTAAATTATTAGCTACTGTGCACATAGAAAAGGAAAAGACCACCAAAAAAGTATAGTTATGGTCTTTTTGTGGACTTTTATAACTCAATTAATAATAGTCCAGGGGCTGATTGTATAAAAACGTAATTAAATTTAACTATAGTTAACCCTAACTACCGTAGTTAACTCCTCAACTGTAGTTACTTAGCTGCTTGACTTAACTGCGTTGCACAAAACGTAGTTTGTCGGATAGTTAAGTAACTGCCTAGTTAACGTGCGTGGAAATTGCGTGGAGTGTTGTTTTCGTTAAATTACATAAGGTTTAATCAATTTATGCTTTGTAATGGCAGGCAAGTGAACTATAAAATGACTTTAAAATCAAGAAAAATCTCTTGGCTTTTGTAAAAATCTTAAAATATGGCAAACTTTTGTCGTTTTTACGGATGTTGATAATGCAAAAGAAAATTTATTAAACGTGAGTCGTGGTAACCTAGTGACATGGTAACGGGATCAAATTGTAGCATAACGGTGACATAACCTAACGGTGACATGGTAACCTGATCAAATTGTAGCATATACTTTGGATTTTTCTGAAGAAAATCGACCCTTATCTTCTGTGTAGTACAGTACGATGTTGATGAATATGAGTCTCTGCAAGGACTGCTTTCTTTCATGAACCAATTATATATAATGGACTTGGGCAAGCGAAACAATGAAATCTTCTCAAATTGATTCATATTGTGTTCTATGTACAAGGATTTAAATATTTCAATGGCCTTGCTTTCACAGAATTTAAAACTGAGAGTTTGAGGGTACCAAAGGAAAAGGTCGTTTCGTTTCTCTTTCTAACAGCTAAGTAAAATGCTTGAAAGAAATGTGTTTGTAAAGACATAAGTCACACATACTTGTAAAAGATGACAGTGATGGGCTTTTTTTATTATTAGAAAACATTTTTTGAGCCATCATAGTTAGTAGCCATGTAATCCAGCAACTGTCTTGCTCTGCTTGTGTGACATGCTATATTCACAGCTATACACAAAATACTTATTTGTTCTTAATTCTGCCTTGCAAAAAAATGAGTCATAAAAGCTATTGGGTATATTTGTTAATGAGCCGTAGCTATGAAACTCCACAATCCACTGTTCAGGCAAGTATCAACCAGAAACTACAATCCACTGTTCAGGCAAGTATCAACCAGAAAGCTATGGATGGCTTTACCAGTGTTTTGAGCAAAAAATTTAAAGTTTTCAAACAGGAATAAAATGAAAACATGCTGTTAAACTCATTTGAATCATTTTTGACTATTTCTCCTTTAGGAAGAATATTGTTTTGGATAATCTGGAACGTGTTGTCCCCATTTTTACGGCAATGCGTTACTAAGTAAAGCAGACATTTGTGATCGTTCTGAACACTATACTTTCTGAAATTCTTCGACCCAATAATTTATTTGTGTTTAAGCTGAAAAAGATGCAAAACTTGGCAGACAACAAACTATGGAATGCCTCAGCAAAAAAGAATTGTTCTAATTACAGATTATATGCTTTGTACAACCTTACAAATAGACAACTATAGTACATTCAGCCGTTATGGGACAACAGCATGTCCACGGCTATGTACTTGCATTTAGACTATAATGTTGACGGGAAAGCAAAGACGAAAGAGAACCGTCTTTGTGAGTGAGACGTAAAGCAAAATGAAAGAGAGAAAATTTATGAAGACATGAAAACACATTGAGCCAGGTAAAAATAACCAGACAATGGCTTGAAAACAGATAAATATCTAAACGAACGAAGAAAGAAAAGGCCTGATTAGAAATAGAATAACTAGTAGAGATACAATATACACAATAAACAAGGACGTCGTCATGTAGATTAAGGAAAGAAAAACAATCAAAGTAAACTATTAAAAGGGAGAGATGTAGTGTTTAACTTAATAAAGGGATACTAATTGTATGCGTGCATCCAAGTTGTTCAAGGTAAGAAAAAATAAGGAAGGTGAAAGTTATAGATTGAGGAGAGCATAAAAAATTAAACAAGAAAGAACAATAGTCATGAATCTTTATATAGTTAACAGAAATATAAACAGATAAAATGCTTTATTATGCTTTTGCTGTTCTTGGGTTTTCTTCAAGGAAGGGCTTAAATGTTGCAAGTTTTAACGAGGAGATTCGTTATTGTGTCATTGAATGACGTAAACATCATAAGAAAGTTTTTACCTATGAATGTGAGAAGTTGAGAGATAAATCTTTTCTATTCTTTATCAACCATGTTTACTATTCATTAAAGGTTCCCAAACTGACTTATTAATAAAATATTTCTCCTGTAACTTTTTAAAACAAAACAGTCACACCTTCTCGAATCTCGTTATCGCAATCACCCTCTAATGTAGTCTCATCAAGAACTACTTGAACTTCGCTCTGAAGTGACAGGTTTGGAACTTATTTAAGAACTAAGCAATTGAGCCGATGGCTTCGGTCAGACTATTTAGTACTGACGTAGCAAGTGCAAAGTTTAAAGTTTGTTATAAAATAAAGAATTATTCATTGCGAGCTGCAGCATTAGAACATAAATATACTTCAGAAAACTAATTCTTTTTGAGATTAAGAAGTCTGGTAACTAGTGTAAAGACATTTATGGATACAATAGTGTTGATTGCCGACACTAAAAAAGAACAAACACTGACTTTGGGAGTTTTCAATTCATTTTCTTTGTTTATTCCCAACAAAATGTCACTTTTTTTCTCGATGTAGAGGAAGTGCTGAAGTTATTCACAAGGAGACTATAATCCCGATGGACTCATCTGGCGCCACTCCTAACTCAAAGCATGATGATTAGGCACTTTACCACCTGCTCTACTGTACATATTATAGTGTCATTTTAATTGTATGCAATTGCAGTTTTATTGTTTTTAATTAAATGTTTTCGTCATGTTGTCATTGTAAAGTGCAAACTTATCATGAAGGCAAAAAGGTAGCAAATATCTAAACAAATTTTGCTGTTTCCCATATCCTGACAAAACTTACCTAGTTTTATTGAACAGTGTTTTCCTGTAAAGCCAAAAGGACATTGACATCTGTAAGGATCAGAACCAGGTCCGTCTCTCAAGTCAATAGTCGTTATTCCTCCACTTTCACAAATTTTTTCTTTGTTGTTTGGTATCTTTAAAAGTAAAATGTGCAATTAATAAAATAAGTAGCTTTCTATATCGAAATAATTCAAACCGTTGATACGATATTCCTTCGTACCTTTCTTTGTGGATTTTAAAATTCAAAGAAACTCCACTTGTTATCTGTGCAATGTTCATAGTTCAGTGGACGTGTGTGGATTAATTGACAAGTTATATCCCTTATCACCATGTCTTCACAAAAGTTAAAACCAACACAGAACGGCTCTTGTAAACATTTAAATGCACATGAATCTGCCGATGAGAAAAATGTTTCAAACAAAACATTTTCTCTTAATGGACATGTCTCTAAAATCAATGGCGATTTAAAAACATTTTTTAAAAACAAAATTTAAGATAGCTATAGATTAGATGACAAGATGCACTTTGGTAGTTTTCTCGTGACTCGAAATGGTCAAGGGATTGAAAGTATTTTTCTTGCTCTCAACTTAAATCATGTACATGAAAGGTGTATTAAAATGTACGGAAAATATCTGTGAATTATAAAATTGGGAAATAAAATTCAAAATTATGGCTTCAATTAAATTATCACACTTTACTAAAACTAACCTTTTTTCAGCAAACGCAACATGGATTTTTCAGTAATACCAGAACATACTTCAAAAACAATTGTGATTATATATGTAGTAATCTGAAAATTAAGTGACAGAGAGGAAAACATGTTTAAAAGTCGATAATATAGCACAACTTTGCGATTGTAAAATAAATGTAACTTCAATGAAAATGATGCATAGTCTATGCATGCATTTACTTATATACTGTCACAAAAGTTTTTAATTAAAATTTGTTTGAACAGCTGAAAAAAGTTTTTACTTTTTCTCTAAATCATGGATGTATAAATTCAAGAATATGGCCAAGTTTTTGACTGATTTTGAAATAAATTAACCGTGTGATCTCATGTTCTGTCACAAATTCAATATGAAAGAATGAAATTAAATTTTTATCGTTTCACTCTTTATTGATTTTTATGAAGTTCCCCACTAAATTATTAATCTCCGAGCGTGTTCTAAAATACATTGTTTTTCTTGCAATTTTAAAAATAAGAATTTTATTTTAAACTGTGATCAAGATTATTATTTGGTAATTTCGTTATTTCTTATGTATAGTAAGAGAGGCGACGCATAAACAATTTAATCATCTTCCTCTAAATGTTACAAATTATTTGTTTGTCATAGCGATACAAAGAGAAATACGATTTTTATACGATTTTAATATATTTTGAAGTTTTACTGACTCACTTGTATAAGTTTTCAGTTACATATGGCAGTAAGGGATGATTATATTAAGAGACAGTCTAGATATGTATCTTTTAATGTCACGAAAAATTTAGTTGTAACAGCGGTATAATATAACAATCCAACAACGATAACCACGTAACGTCAGCGTCATGTTTATTTATTTATTTCTTTAAATTTAGATAATAAATAAACTTAACGAGGGTCCCTACAGTTACTTAGCAGGGGACTGGAGAAAATTTGCATGCACATATTCTGCTCATGTCAAGTGGGCTTTTTTCATAAACGCTTGGCCGCGTTGCTTTATTGAAGGTTCTTCCTTCGGTAAATTTTGTTAAAAGTTTGTGTGGATGTTTATCATAAAAAAATTATATATACGCGAAAAAAGAACAGAATCTACAAAAAATTTTTCATAAAGCTGAAATTCTTAAATATCACAAAAAAATATTTATAGAATTCCTCAAATGTTGAACATAATGTTTCTTGAATGATTGACAATCTTCACACGAAAAATTAGAAATATTAACCGAAAACAAGTTACGGTAACTGCTTCTAAAACTGGACGATCAAAGCGTTAAAGAAAATAAGTCATGGTTGCCATAACAAAGCAAACAGTTATCCTATTCAAGCATTTATAGATTTCACTGGCATTCTTGAATATTCCCTCGAATATCACATTTCTAATGTTTCACTGTCTTGATCAAACTAATATTTTGCAGGTAAAGGCTACCTGAAATACCCGAATTTCAGGTGAACTGTAGGGAGTCTTGTTAAGGAAGCAAAATTTTTGAAAATACCGAGTTACAGACGACATGAGTTGTATGAAAGAACTTGATCTAAATTAGCAGTTAAATTAAGCCAGCTTAACTATAAAATAATCATAAATAAACATCAAGAAAAACAACATTTTTTCGTCTTTTTATTTCTCCTTCAAAGACATAAAGCGTTTTAATACAATAATGTCCTTCAAATAGAGCAAAAATCTTGTATACGTAAGTAACTGCATGAAACTGGTAATTTTGGCGATGTTTTGCTTTTGCTGGAAGAGAATACATATCATAAAATTTATGAGTCCTATTTAGTAATTGAATCGCAGGCAACACGGATGATCTGACCGTCAAGTCATCCCAAATCAAGAATGTTTGTCGTGGCTCCGTTTCAACAAGCCGACATAAGCATTTTGGCAAATAAGCTTGGCCCACCCTGAAACATTTTACAGCTATAAACTTACTGCACCAAAATAATACGAAGATTTGTGCACACTTCTACGTCACTTAGCCAGAATTTCTTGTGTAAGAAATACTCTAAATAACATGGCACTTTTTCTACATTTTACCAGTTACTTGCTTAACAAAAACTGTCGTTTTGAAAAAAATATGTATGTGCACATTCAAGATAATGGATCTTTATTTCTCATTTATATTTTTTATTTCAATTTATTATTACATTTCCTTTAAAATTGCAGTTGCCATAGTCAATGGCGAAAAATGATAAAGCTCCCAAAACTTCTGAAAACTAATATCAACCCAGTTTTATAATAAAAATTAGGACTGTTGGATTTCTACTTAATTTCAGAAATCTCCAGGACTCTGGGAGGCCTTTGCTAAATTCATTGGCTTGCAAGTTTTGAAAAATCTTGCAAGCCAATGAATGGTCGATAAAGAAGATACATTGAATGAGTCCTCTTCTTGTGTGAGAATTGTTTTATGTAGAAAGATCTTCGAAATAGCATTTGCACAAACATGAGAAAGGTAAAAGACAGTTTGAACACGGAGATGAAGAATGGTAGATGTTGTTCAAATTGTAAGAAAGTCGTTCAATACATGTACACGAATGCTTGGCTTTGAGATTAGGAACTATTTTGGGGTTTTTTTGTACATTATTGCATTTTTTAAAAGCCTCGTTAATTATTTCGCAAAATAAGTTCAAGTTTAAACATAACGTATAATTTACAAATTATAAAAAGCATTTAAAAACGAAAAATGGAAAAAATAACACGGGATTTATATAACGTGAATGGTTAGCGTACGCATTTGCCAGATTTCTTGAAACTATGTCAGCTTAAACAATATATACATGTCATGTGTTAAATTTATCGAATCCACTTCATTTTTTGCTGTTTCATTTTTGTGCGCAATCTAAATAACGAGCCTTTAGGAAACACAACTTTAATTTAAAAATTGTAAAAACTGTAGCAATTTTACTTAGTTTTTGTAAATGTTGCACACTAATGAATTTAATGACGTTTGTCTAAATATTCAGTTTTGATACAATATGTATGAGAAAATGCATTTAACTTTCTTCTTCTATAGCGCATTGCAGCGTTTGGTAGCTATTGTACTCAATATGCTCATTTTTTAAAAACAAAAAGGTTTTATGACATATTTTTCATTTCCGAATCTTAACAATTAGAAACATTGGCGTCAATCCTGTGTTTAATTGGGGGACCACATTCATATATTATGCTAAACACTGTTATTTTCTTTTCAAAACAATTTCATTTCAAAAGAAATTAGAGTGGCATAAAACAATATATGAATATGGTCCACCCCCAAGTATCGCATGATTGACGCCTTTAATCAGAAACAAACAAATTTATTCTTAAAATAAAAATCGAAATTGCATTTTTTCAAATGTTGGAAATTGAATATAATTGTTGAAAATTGTCTTGCATATAGAAACGCTTTTTTTAATTGTTTTTTTTTATATGAAAGCATGAAATTCATTAAATCATTAAATTTCCAACCTTGATTATGTTATTTCGTCTTGTGGTTATTAGTTCACTATAGTACTTGGTTCTTTCTGATTTTTATGAAATGAAAAGAATAAAAAATGAAATCTCTCATAAAGATTTTCTCACCATGTGTTTACTTTCTTGATTTAATGGTTGATATAAATTGTAAATTAATATTTTTAGAGTAAATCTACAATAAATTAATCATGGGACTGTTAAAATCATATCGAGAAACTGTGTCTTAGATAGGCTTAAAAGGATATTGAGGTCAAATCTTCAAGCGTTACGTCACATTCGGCACGCCACGCAGTTAAAATTCAAGGATTGTTTGCTGCATTATGAGTTTATTTTTGCCAACTTATATCTATGAGTTTTCAGTTAATCTCTCTATTGCGCGATTTCGTTCTTAAAAAGTTTTGATATTCAAAAGAGAAAAATGAAGTTCTTTGCAATTCGTTTTTCTTCTAACACTTGGCATTAATGCTATTTTACCATAAAATTCTCATTTTCTTGTAGCATAAGTCTTATAACAGACAATTTTTGCGTGTGTGAGGACTTTGGGCTTTTGCGCCTAACTTGGTTTCCCGTATCACTCCTTCTGATTAGTAGACTAGTGTTGTGCATAAAATTGATGCTTTTGCTTTAGTTTTGGCAAAAAAATCATGTAGTTTTACGCAAAATTTGGCCTAAATTGAAGGTTACAGGCGGAATTTGCTGTTGGGTTAAATGTGCGATGAAACAAATTTTGTTTTCAATGTGACAAGCATGAATTATTCTTACTAGAAAAGAATGGTGAAATTATTAAAAGTTTGGACTTTCTCGAATTAAATAATGCTAAAGCAGAAATGTGAAATTACTGAAATATATATGGTAAGTTAATATTTACTTCATATCCTTACAAACTGAAATTTCCTGTAATGTGTGAGTTATAATTAATGTTATGTTAATTTGAAATAACTATAATATATAAATAAATTTAAACTAACAAAATCTACAATCGTGTACTAAAGTGTTTATACGACGAATTTTAGCCACTCTTTTTTATTAGCTAAATTAAAAGACGGCGTTTCAGTGTTTATATTCCTGCAGTTATAATTGAAATTGGATTTGTAATAGTGATTTTATGAATGTTCAAAGTCACCATTTTCAGTTATTTTTTTTGCGAACTTTTTCGCCGGTATAATAATGAGTTGTGACGTAGATAGTGGAACACATATATCAACATGGTGCAATCTACTGGTAATTATAAATCAAACGCGGCGGAAAACGCTGTTTTGCTGGCAGACCTAATCAAGTTAGTTCCTTCGATGATTTAAAAACCAGATAAATATCGATGCATCTGTTTCCCAACAAAGAAACAGAGCCGGATTTTATGTAAAATTGCGACAGGTGTATTTGTATGAAGACCTTTGAAATGTTTAGAACATTATTTCACCCGAAACGATTATCTGCAGTGTAGCGTTGCTTGCGATTTAGTTAAAGCCAATGAGGTGCTGCATTGTACATTATTCGCAGCTATACATGCAGTATGCTAAACCTTTAATATGTTTTATTCTTTTGTAATAACTATGTGGAACTTAAAAACACGTTCCATATATTTGATAATGTTAATATATTATCACAATATATTGTTACTCGAATAATGGTTGCATACACCGTGGTATTTTTCATATATCGTGTTGTAGGATACATTGCAGTCTTGGTGGCTCCATCCACAGCCTTGTGCAGGCGTATTGCGCAGGCCTATATCGGTTGGTGATGGTTTAGTATGAGTATAATTCAAAATGGCTATGATTCCATCATGCGAAACAGCTGCCGTTAGTGATGTAGGTAGTTTTTTGGAGTCACTTAAAATTATTACAAGATGTGGAACAAACGTTGAATAACCAGGAGTTAAAAGTTCTAGATCATTTCTAAACATTGGCGACCATCTGGATGAGACGTGTCAAAAAAGTTTATGATTTATCAACGAGTGAGAGAATACTACAAACTTCAAACTAGAGGTTTCAGAGAGGAGAGAGAAGCAGATACTATAATACGGGCCTTTTTTTTAATTCAAAATCTAAATAGAACCTGCAAATGCTTAATTACTCTTAGGATTCATTTTGAAATGAAATTTCAAGCACTGAAGAGGCTGAGAGAATAGAGAGTTCTGCACAGTCTGCACAGTTTCCA